ATCACATGCAAGATGCTGCATTCACTGAAGAAAATTACACAAGTTAAGTATGAGAAGACTGGAAACAGAGCGAATGCACTTCAAGTATTTGACAGCCACTGGTGCTGTGCTCAGGCTGAAGGGTCAGTGCATTTAGGATCTAACCTGGTGTCCTTCAGGACCTCGAAGGCTGAAAAATTAGAATTACATTTCCTAGATGACCTTGCAGCTAGGATTCTGGGCACAATTTTGTCATTATTTTCCTTTTTTTTTTAAAGGTTTTATTATTTATTTATTTATTTATTTATTTATTTATTTTTCATTACATGTAAGTACACTGTAGCTGTCTTCAAACACCCCATAAGAGAGCATCAGATATCATTGTGGATGGTTGTGAGCCACCATGTGGTTGCTGGGATTTGAACTCATGACCTCTAGAAGAGCAGTCAGTGCTCTTAACCACTGAGCCATCTCACCAGCCCTTGTCATTATTTTTCAATCCTACAAGATCAGTAAATTGGAGGCTGGAGAGACGGCTCAGTGATTAAAAGCACTTGCTTCTCTTTCAGAGCAGCACAGTTCAGTTCCCAGCACTTATGGTCAGGCAGCTGAGCTGCCTATAAGTTGAGTTTCCAGGGATCCAATGTCCTTTCCTTGTGCTTGTGTGCATGTGAGCACACGAATAAGCAAATAAAGACTAAACAGTAAAAAGGAAAAGATAAGAGAACAGAAGAGGAATGAGTAGGTGTGTGTTGTGTCTGCAGGGAGGGCTACGGTGGTGGAGTCCCGAGCTCTCTCGGCGGGTTCTCACGATGGTCAGGCAGGAGTCGCTTCCCTGTGGTGGGATGCATTCTAGGAGCACCCATGGCTGCATGAACTTCAGGTAGTACTGAGTCCTCACCATATGCTTTCCTTTATCATTGGTACCTCAGCTCTTAGCAGCTTCAGCACACACCTCCCTGCCCTTAAGACTTTTACCTTTTAACGTTAAAAAAGCAAAAAGGCAAAGCTCTTTATGACTTCTGTTTGGTGCAGCTGAACTGCCAGCGTCACAACTCCTGGGCTTTCTTTTTGTACCCACCCCCTACCAGGGGACAGGGTCTCATGCAGTCCAAACTGCTCTCAAGTTGGCCAGGTACCTTAGGTCGGCCTTGAACTTCTGCATCCTACCTCCCAAATGCTGAGATTATAGATGTGCACCACCATGACTGGCCAGGGCTTTTTTTTGTTTTGTTTTCCCTTAAAGATTCTGTCCTTAAATTATGCACGTGGGTATGTACTTGTGAGTACAGATACCTGGCTACACCAGAGGCCTTGATCCCCTTGAGCTACATATAGCCAGTTTCGAGCCACCTGACTTGGGTGCTGGGACCTAACTTGGGGTCCTGTACAAGAGCAGAAGTTCTTAAACACTGAGCCATCTCTCCAATCCCTAGGGCGTTTGTTTGTTTGTTTGTTTTGTTGTTTTGTTTTTGTTTTTTGAGACAAGGTTTCTCCTTATAGCCCTGTCTGTCCTGGAACTCACTCTGTAGACCAGGCTGGCCTCGAACTCAGAAATCCACCTGCCTCTGTCTCCCAAGTGCTGAGATTAAAGGCGTGCGCCACCACTGCCCGGCCCTAGGGCTTTATTCTTAAAGTTTTATCATATTTATTGTGCCCGTGTGGACAGACAGCAGAGATCATCTTTTAGGAGCCGGTCAGTTTGGCAGATGCCAAGCTTACATGGCAAGAATTTTTTCCACTGATTCATTTTGCAGAAGCCCAGCTAGGGCTTATTTATTATTATTTGAACATTGTTATTTAGTGTGTGTCTGTGCATGTGCATGCTTGTGTGTATGTGTGTGTAGGTAAATTACTTGGGTGAAGGTCAGAGGACAACTTTTAAGAGTTGGGTCTGTCCTTCTTGCATGTGGATCCTGCAGATTGGATTCAGGATGTTAGGCCTGGTGGCAGTGCCTTTACTCACTGAGGCACCTTGCTGGCCCCCAGCTGGGGCTTTTTTATTAGGTGAAATAAAGGTGAAGAAAGCATATTATTATGGCAGTTGATCTACTACCAGAGATGCTACTAAGTGACCAAACAGGCAGATGATCTGCGGGGCAGGGGTATGCCAGGCCAGCGGATACCTCCCACCCACTGTGAGATGACACAAAGTTTCATCATGCTGCTCAGGTTGGCAAGCAGTGTAAAAACTCATGAATTATTAATTTTTTGGAATGTCCCACTTAATATTTTTAGACTACGGTTGATGGAGCGTAATTGAAACCTTGGAAATGAAACTGTGGGTGGGGAGTCCTCCTCCTGTGTGTTTTCAGAGCTGCTACATGTAGCTCAGTGTAGTGACAGCTTTCCCAGCTGGCTTCCGATTTCAAGAGAGGAAGTGGTTCCTTTGCTGCCTCATTTCTGCTGCCAAGCGCTGTATCAGAGTCTGTTATCAATCAGCTCTCCAAACAGGGCTTTCAGCAGCTCCTTCACTACTTGAACTCGCTAGAGATTCATACTTTATTTGGTTTTGTTTGTTTGTTTGCTAAGATGGTGGGGAAGGGGGGATGACTCACTCTGTAGACCAGGCTGGCCTCAAAATCACAGAGACCCCAAAGGCCTTTGCTTCCCAAGTACTGCTATTACCGGTGTGTGTGACCATGCCAGGCTTTTTTTTTTTTAAAGATTTATTTTTGATTATATTTAATCATGTGATTATATTTAATCAGGCGCATGCACACATGGGTGCAGGTGCCTGTGGAAGCAAAGTCATCATATCCTCTGGAGAGGGAGTTATAGGTGGCTGTGAATGCCCAATGTGGGTGCTGGGTATCAACCTCAGGTCCTCTGAAAACATAGCAAGCACTCTTACCCACTGAGCTGTCTCTCCAGCCTGTGTGCACTTGTTTTATTTATTTTTTTTTAAAGACAGGTTTTCACTGTCTCAAAGACAAGGTGGCCCAGAATGACCTTTAACTTGCAGTCCTCCTGCCTCCACCCTCCAGGTACTGAGATCTCAGGTGTATGACACCATGTCCAGCCTGGTTCAGTTGTGTGAAACTGAACTCAGTATGGCATAAAAGAGGAAAGTAACATGTAAAGAAAAAGCATGGATAGGCTGGAGGGATGGCTCAGTGGTTAGCACTTACTGCTCTTGCAAAGGGTCAGGGTTCAGTTCCCAGCACCCACATGGCAGCTCACAACAAACCATCTGTAACTCCAGCACCAGGGGTCTAAGGCCACTTTCTGGCTACCAAGGATTCCTGCACACAGATCCTGCACATAAACTCATGCGAGCACACACACACACACATATAAAAATCAAGAAATAGAAAACAAGAAAAAAAGCATGGTGGATAGGACAAACACACCAGACACATAAGCCTAATTATAACAGAATAATCCAGGGACTGGTGGGCTGGCTCAGTCGGTGAAGGTGCCTGCCACCAACCTAAGTGAGAGGCAAGGGACTGAAGAGAAGAAGCAGAGAGCCGACTTCTGCATGTTGTCCTCTGGCTACCACAGAGTCAACTTAATGAATGTGAGCCCCCCCCTCTCTCTTTCCTTCCTTCTCTCCCTCCCTTTCTCCCTCCCTCCCTTTCTCTCTCTCTCACATACACACTAAACAAATAAATGTAAAAAATCAACACATATAAAACAATTGCAGGAAATACAAAGGTTGCACATCATGGCTACCAATTATTTTTGGTTTTGTTTTTGAGACAAGGTCTTCATATAATCTGGGCTGGCTTCATTCTCAGTGTGTAGCCAAAGAGGACCTTAAACTACCGATCCTCCTGCCTCCACCTCCCAACTGCTGGAATTATAGGCACTTGCCATACTGCCCAGCCTCATTTTTGTATAACTTTTAAACATAAAACTTCTTATCCCACATATAGTAACTGGACTAATAAATCACACACAGTAACAGCAAGAACAGTGTAATCAGTATATGTATGCTAATTTTGAAAGACATGAACAGTAGACATCATCAACATAGTTCTTTTTTATGGAGACAAAAAAGAATGAGGTGGCTTTTTTTTTTTTATAAACTCCAAGCATATGAAGCAAAATGACTTTTTAAAAGTTTTATTGTGTATGTGTGTGTTTAGGTATGTGCTTGCCACAGCCTGAGTGTGGAGGTCAGAGGACAACTTTCAGGAGTCAGTTATCTCCTTCCACATGAGTCATTTAGCTAGTCCCCAAATACCTTTTAAATTTTATTTACAGTGCTGGAATCAAACCCAAGGGCTTAGGGCTTGTCATACAAGCCCTCTACAGCTGAACACCATCCCCAGGCCCTGCAAAAATGTTTTGATGGTTTAATCATGGGGTGCGTGGGTGTTATTGATGTTATTTTCTGTACTTCTCCGCATGTCTCTAATACGTCCTAATTTACAAAACACAGTCATGCTCAACACTCTCCAGGACATCTTAGTGTACAATTATGTTGGAAGCAGCTTCTGGGCTGAAAAGGGGGAAACCTGATGAGGCAACTTGCTGTTTTAAAACAGCGAAGTTGAAAGGACTGGAGAGATGGCTCAGTTAAGAGTACATACCGCTCTTGCACAGGACCTGCGTTTGGTTCCTAGACCAGTGGGATCTCCGTGGCTGCCTACACGCACATGGACATATGTACATAGCCACACTGGGGGATGTGGGCAGTGGTACCCAGCGGCTCTCACACATTGACGCGGCTTAGCTTTGCCGATGGGATGTAGGTGTGAGAAGTCCCGAAGCTGGCTGGGGATCCTGGGCTCGGTCGGCTCGCCGGAGGCCGGGCTCAGCGGCCGAGAGGCCGGGCTTCGGGCCCGGAGGCCGGGCGGGCCGCGCCGAGGGCGGAGCCGGCGCGCGGGGGCGGACCTCGGCGCGCTCCCGGCCGCTCGCTGGCTCTGGGGCCGCGGTGGCTCCTCTGCCGGGTCGCGCCGGAGGACAGGCTTCGGGCGGCGGCTTGGGCGGCCTGAGGACCGACCGGGTGGGCCGAGCGGCGGAACCCCGCGCCTGCCGTCTGCCTAGCCCGCTAGCGCGGGGCGCGCGCCATGGCCGCCTCGCCCGGCTCGGGCAGCGCCAACCCGCGGAAGTTCAGTGAGAAGATCGCGCTGCACACGCAGCGGCAGGCCGAGGAGACGCGGGCCTTCGAGCAGCTCATGACCGACCTCACCCTGTCCCGGGTGAGCTCCGGGGCCGGCGCGGGCGGTGCGGGTGGGTCCGCGCGGCGGAGGAGAGGTCGCCGGGCCGAGGCGGCGGTGGCGGGGCCGGGCGGGGGCCGCGGGTGGGGAGCGGGGCCGGAGCGGCCTCAGTTCTGGCCGGCCTGACGACACCAAATGCGGCTTGCCATCTCGGTGGACGGGCCTTCGGTGCAGTGAGCTGGAAACGGCTGAGCCCGGGGAGGCGGGCAGCGGGACCGGGCGGCCTAAGCGGGAGGATGACCCCGAGAGGAAATCGCACACAGCTGCAGCTGCACCTCGGAGGCCGGACCGAGGCGCGCCTAGTTCGGGCGGTGCGGCTTCTCCGTGGACACCCACCGCCAGCGAGCCCCTGACTGTCGGCGTGGAAGGCCTCGGGGGCCCGAGGGGCGCACATCCTCCCCGAGGGGCTGCACGCACAAGTGAATCGACGGCTGCCTCCTGAGTGGCAGGGGCCCTTGGTACCACGATGTGATTCCGTGGCTTTCCCACTTTCGCCTCTTGGAGGTGCTTTACGTGGTCCGATGATGCGTTTGTTCAGCATCAGATATTTAGTGAGAACTGACAGGGTATCTAGCGCAGATGGTGACCGCGGAGGGACCCAGAGGAATGAGTAAGAGCGAGTCGGGACAAACACCTGGGAGGCTAGACAACTGGAGCAGACGGACGGCAGGGGATGGAGACAGCAGGAGTGTCTGTGCAGACCGCAGAGGGTCAACGTGAGTGGGCAGCCTTGAGGATTCGGAGTGCTGGCCTTGAAGGCACGTTGTCAGATGGGGGAGGCTGTGAAGATGCTGGGGGTGGGCAGCTGGAAGGAGCTGTGAGAGCAGATTGCCAACTGGTTGTTGCCCTGCTTCCTGCGGTGCACAGCCGTACTGTATTTTGGCCACCATAGTGTCTGTGACTTGAAAAAATTTTTTTTTTGTAGTCAGGGTTTAAATTGGCAGTTTTTTTCTTTTAACATAAATTTATAACATAAACTAAATTGACTTACTTTAAAAATTAAGAGACCTGGAAACACAATCTCGAGTGTTACCATCCTCAAGTGGATTATGAACTCTATTTTGCTCTAATACAATTCACACCACTCACTGTGACAGCCCCCTACGCCGAGACCATTCATCATATTTATATAATGTTATCTTTTGGTGTGGTAAGGAAGAGCCAAGTGAACTGCTTTCATTCTCAATGCACTGAACCAAGGAAAAAAAAAGAATATTTGAGAGATAAGTGATAGATGGAATATACAGATAGATACAGAAGGCTGAAGATTTCAAGGAAAAAATGTCCTTCTGCCCTGATCGGTTTTACTGCTTACCAGTTGGCATCTACAGGCCTGTACATTTTGTAACCTTGATTAGACCGAGCTTGACAAGCTAAGGACGTTATAGAAGAGTTGTGGGTAAAAGCCATGGATTAGCGTAAGGCCTGTGCTGTGATGTCTTGAGGCATACTTTATGCACACATACATGCGCTTTAAGTGTCTGTATAGCTAGAGTTGATCCAGTCACTCGTGCGATTTTTGAGGCCCCCTTTAAATCATCCCCCGTGGTGAGGTAGGTCCTGAGTAATGTACAGATTATTTTTATTCTTCTGAGACAAGGTTGTGCTCTGTAGCCCGACTAGCTTGTAGCTTGACATCCCTTTTCCATAGTTGATAAATGGGGTTACAGGCATGCACCATTGTACCTACTTCAGATTTTTAAAAACAACAAAAAAAATCCTCACAGATCCTTCGAGTTCATTTAGTTTTGATTTTACTCGTGCAAATCATTATGTTCGCACATAATCTTGGGTATGAAGTTCATTGGGTAGAGCTTCGATTCTATGTGTGCAACCAACTGAAGGTTACGAATGCAATAAATCCAAGTAAAATTTCATGTATTATGATAAATGCTATTTTGATGCACAGAACTCAGATTCTCTATGTGATACGTTGAATTTAATGAGCCTGATCAACTGCGGCTTATAAGCTAATCCAGTTGCTATTTCTGCTAATTACTTCAGGCTTATGTTGCTTTGCCTCGTACCTGGGACAGGGAGTCATTTGCATGTTAGTTCAGCTTGTGTTTTCTCCTGTGTTCAAACAGACGCTCGTGACGACACTGAATGTGCCTCGGTATTTTTTACTTATTTAGTATTTTAAGGGATTATCTTCCCAAAGAAGTCATAGAATGAAACACTTCTCATAAAGAACTCCTGGGTCCTCAAATGCAAGTGGATTCCCATTTGGAGAATAGTCCATTAGTTCACAGAGGGTAATCGGATGGCTAGTAGATTGACTTTGCCTACTGCATGTTAATTGATGGGTAGGTACTGTGACTGATCTAGGTATCATTTCTCCTTAGCCTGTGTTGAGTTTCAGCTGCTCAGTGTAATCACGGCCAGTCTTTTAGGGCTGACTTGAACACTACTACTTTCAGGGTAGACACGAGGTTCTAGATCAGTGGTTCTCAACCTGTGGGTTGACTCCCACAGGGGTGACTCTGATTGGAGCTTTATATTACAGTTCATAACAGTGGCACAATTACAGTTATGAAGTAGCAATGAAGTACTTTTAAGGTTGGGGGTCACCACAACATAAGGAGTTGTATTAAAAGGTTGCTGTGTTAGGAAGATTGAGAACCACGGCCCTAGATTTTGGAGCATTTTTTCTTTCCAGCTTTAATGTTTCAGCTTCATCAGTAAACAGCGTGGATTTGTTTGTGTGTTTGTTTGGTTGGTTGGTTTTGTTTTTTCTAGACAGGGTTTTTCTGTATAGCCCTGGATGTCCTGGAACTTTCTTTGCAGACCAGGCTAGCCTCGAACTCAGAGATCCATCTGCCTCTGCCTCCTCATTTATTCAGAGTACAGGTGTGCATCACCAGGCCCAGCTAGCAGAGAGACACTCTGGAAAAGGGAGTACTAGGAGGACTTGCCCATTGTGATACCTGGCTGGGATCTCCCGGTAAGAAGGAGGAAAGCGGAGGCAGGCCAGCTTGGGAACAGCTGCTGGGTTTTGATTCATTTCTATGCTGTTGGTAAGTTGGATGCTACCAGTATAGCTAACGGCCTGTTTATGATACGTGTGTTATGGGGGTGAAGACAGTTTTCTTAGTGTGCTCACTAAGTACTATGTCTGTAGTGTGTGCCTGGTGTTACTATGGTTGTTTGGGATGTTGTAGTGAGCAGGCAACAGTGCTTTCTGATGGGTGTTAAGATCCACTGAGGAAGACATTTAAGAAGTGAAGACCCATTTTGCTGAATGTTATAAAAAGGAAGTAGCTGGAGCTCTGGGCATGTGTAGCTAGAAGTCTTTGCCATTTCTGATCTGAAGGATCAATGGGTGTGGGGAGAGAATTCTGGGATATGTGTGGGAAGGGAGTGTGTTTCTGGCAGAATCCTACGGTTCAACAGGACAACTGGGAGAGAGATTTGAGGTTCTGGGGACACCACAAGGATCAGGTTGTAGATATGGGATTTGGGACCTGATCCTAGAGCAATAGTAGGTCATTGGAGAGGTTGAGCTCCTGGGTGGATTTGCATCTTAAAAGGATCCCTCTAGCCAGAATCTAAAAGGAGTGATGCTGTACAGCATGCTGTGGCAGGGCTCAGTGGCCTTGGCTAGTGGGAGTGAACAGGTCGATGCTTACAAAGTATAAGGTGCTTTGGAGGTTCCAGCAAGGTGAGAGGGAGTGCTGGAGGTGATTCCCAGGCTTTAGGCATGCCGTAGTCCTGGATGGATAATACTCTAGCAGGAGCAGAGTCCAGTTGTGAAGAGACGCTGAGTTTGAGGGGCTTCTGAGGCTCGGGAAGCATGTTCTAGCAGGCCGTTGTCTCTATGGACTTGGGCCTCAGAAGGGAAGGCTAGGTCTTCCTCCTATTTGGGGTTCTTTGGAGTTTAGCCACAGGAGATTGGATGCTTAGGAAGAGTTTGGAGACCACATACTACAGGGAGGGGACTGTAGTTCAGTTGCTAGGGTGTTTGCATCTGGTACTCCAAGTCTTGACTTGATCCCCAGCATACGTATTAGCGGCTCGTACCAGGAATCCTAGCACTTGGGAAGTTGAGGCAGGAGGATGAGAAGTGTAAGGTTATCCTCAGCTACACAGGGTATTTGAGGTTAGCCTACCCTACTTAAAACAAAGGACCCCCCCACCCCCACAAACTACAAACTGACTGGTAGCCTACACCCTATTTTTGGCTCTCTGACATATTTTTATTTTGCTTTCTGTGTGTGTGTCTGTGTGTGTGTGTGTGTGTGTGTGTGTGTGTGTGAGTGTGTGTCTATGTCTGTGTGTGCTCTTGATTTCTGTGTATATGTGTGTCTGTGTGTTCGTGCATCCACATGTTTGTGGAGGTCAGAAGATAACTGGCAGGAGCCAGTCTCTCCTTCCACCATGTGAGTCCTGAGGCCTGAACAGCAAACTATCTTTCCTTGCTGAGTCATCGTTTGCCACAGACCCCGCCATCCCTTTGGCATGCCTCATGATGCTCCAGATTGCTTTCATGACTTAGCTTCCCTATATCTATTTGACTTTGTCTCCCTGCTGTAAAGTGAAGTGTGAATAGGGCCTAGAAGCCAAAGAGCCCCGACATGAAGGGAAGGTAGGGGAGGGGGTGCAATCACAGAAGGCTAACGAGCAATTAGAACAGCAGGAAAAAAGCCAGGAGTAAAGAGGAGAGGGTGTCCACCAGCCGAGCCAGTACTGCTGTCTAGTTGTGTGCAGGCCATTAGTTGTGTGCAGGCCATCAGTTACTACTGTGTGTGCAGGATGCTGGGTGAAGGTGGATTGGGAGGCATGGGGAGATGGCTGGGAAGAGAGGGAAACTGGGAAACTTCAGGGTGCTTGGCTGTGAAGGGCAATTTATACTGATATATCTCAGGATAAACTCAGCATGGCCACCCTAAGTGTTGACTTGCCTTGAATAGTTGTGGAAAGCCGTTGTTTTCCTTTTGTTGTTGTTTTGTTTTTGTTTTCATTTTCATTTTTTTTTTTAAAAA